TAAGTATTAAACGTTTGGTGGGTGCCCAAGTTGTTTATTAATACAGGCATGGTTTTCATCAACAATCCTTACCTTTCCAATGTTTGCAATTTTTTTTTTACAATATTTTTTTATGAAAAAAAAATTCTAAAAAAACCTTAGATAAGAAAAACATAACAAAAGAAAAAAATAAAAAAAGGAAGAATGACAGAAAATATTTATTAATATCTATTAATATTTCATGTTCATTTCTATTTCTTCTGGTAGTGTATTAAATACTTTTATGGCAATATACTGTAGATTACAATTTTTTAGACTGGAAAGGAATAAGTTTATGACTTACACCACACCCTCCCTTTCAATGTAATCTTGTACTGATAACAATGAATGAATTGTTCCAACGCGCGCTTGTTTCGGGTCATTCTCGAGAACATTGTAATTAATAGCTTTTGTGGCACTCTACAGCTTTCTTCCAGCATGTTAAATCTTTGGTTTTTTAATACGATTCTTTGCTATCAATCTTTATACTGTGTACTATAGATAATATTTTTTGAAGTCAAACTTCATTTCGGATGGGTTGTTAATGGAAAAATCCTATGGAAAAAAATATGATGGAAATGCGGCACGAATGTCAAACGGCTATATACATATATATATGTGTGTGTATGTGTATGGTTAAAGGGTAACTCGGCGAAAGCTGAAACGCTAATAGCGTCATCATGGGCGTCACACGCGACAATATATATATCACTACATAGTATGAAGCAAAGTCGCTTCCCGCTGTCTGTCCCTATGTATCTTGGTTCTGATTGGGTCGTTGCTGTCTGATGTGAGCGCTGATTGGTTGGTTTGTTTGATGTCGCGTCGTATGATCTATTAGGTGGAAGTGTAATGGCGATTTATAGAGATGGACCCTGTATTCTCTTTTAAAATGACTTCTTTTTTATCTTAATCTTCATGTTAATTACAACTAGGGCTGCCATCCGTCCGGGTTTCCCCGGATTTGTCCTAGCTTACGGGGCATCCGGGGAGCGTCCGGGCGGGGTTTCATTTGTCGTCCGGGTTCAAAAATTTCCTGTTTTGTGTTGCCAATTAATCCGTCAATTTAAATGTCTTTGAAAATGAATAAATCTATTCTAACACTGTAACCATAAATGCAGACTTCCAACAAAGATCAGCTTTCCTTGGTGCTGCAAGTGTCCATGGGCAGCAGTGACCACTTATTATGAGGTAGACCGCTAGCTCTTTTGCCTACATCAACAAAAAAAAGTTGATTTGTGACATTTTTAACTGTGTTTTTCCGGGTTCTGGGCTCCAAAATCCGGGGTTATCACGCCTCTGATCCGGGTTGCCACATTTTAGAGATGGCAGCCCTAATTACAACACAACGTAATCTGAGAAGATTTTTTTTCCATAGCGTGCGAATCTCTTAATTTTCGTGCAACAAATTTTCGCAAATCGCGTGTGTTTAGTCACTGACGCAACGATATTAAATAACCTATAATGCGATTCAACTAAGAATAGGACCGACAGGGCGCCATATTGTGATGTCATAGCTGTCAAATCAAATCAAATAGGTAGAGTGAGCAAAAAAAAGATGTTATTTAATAAAACTTATTTACTAAGATTAACTGAGAAAAAGCATCAGATTTTTTTAATAACATTTATTTACTAAGATTGAGAAAAAAAAACCTTATTAAGACTGTGAGAAAAAACATTAATCAGAATGTAGCTCTTCTATTCCGCTCATCTCTGCATTACCGCAGGAGTAGTTATGAATAATCATGCACTATTACTAGGTCACATACGAACATGCATCCTTTATGTAAACGAAAGTTTGAAATCGAGTTACTGAACGCAACTTAAAGTGACATTTGGTTGACGATTTAGGTTATCAACCATTCATGGCCAAAGCTCAATGAGTGAAAAAAAATATCAACCGATATTAATTATCAATATTTATTATTGTTTGTTTATAAATTTTTCGTTTATTATTCTTGAATTAGCGAAGTGCTAAAAAAGATTGCCAAGATTTTTCTTGCAAACCGTACTTTTCAAGCGACATTTGACAGATAGAGGTCATTGGCTTTCCTATTCTTATTTGAATCGCATTATATATAGAAACATGTCCAAAAGGTACATTGAACGATTCACGGAGCTCCATAAGATGATCGCGTTGTCAAGAACAATATAAGGCATTATAGATATTAACGGGATTGTTACCATCATCATCATCATCATCATCAGCCGAAAGACGTCCACTGTTGGACATAGGCCTCCCCCATGGATTTCCACAACGATCGGTCCCATGCTGCCCGCATCCAGCGGCTTCCCGCGACCTTTACCAGATCGTCGGTCCACCTTGTGGGGGGCCTGCCAACACTGCGTTTCCCGGTACGCGGTCGCCACTCGAGGACCTTTCCGCCCCAGCGACCATCGGTCCTGCCCATTGCCACTTAAGGTTTGCAATTCTGTGGGCTATGTCGGTGACTTTAGTTCTCTTGTGTATCTCCTCATTTCTGATTCGATCACGCAGAGAAACTCCGAGCGTAGCCCTCTCCATTGCCCTTTGGGTGACTTTGAGCCTTCTTACAAGACCCATTGTAAGCGGCCACGTCTCGGTTCCGTATGTCATCACTGGCAACACGCACGAATTGAAGACTTTCGTCTTGAGGCACTGCGGTAGATGTTACCATTGTTACCATGTACCTTGTTTTTTATGAGTCTCCGATATTTCGGCACTGTTGCAAGCGCCATCCGAAAAGTGTCGAAATATCGGAGACTCATAAAAAACAAGGTACATGGTAACAATCCCGTTAATATCTATAATGTTAGTGACCATGAAAGTTTAAAACAATATAATATAAGGCATTATTTAAACATTCAAAATAATAATAACCTTTAATGCATGCTGTTTTTAATATCGTCCCCGTGACAAGACTAAGTGGTACTTGTGCCAAAAGATTTAATCGTTTAAAGTAATACGATTAAAATTTTCGTTTTAAACGCTGCATCCAAGTATGTAACTGTTCGCTTGCGCACCGAAACAAACGAAGCCGTGGGCTACAGCTAGACAATGTGAGCGCACAATGCTTTAGAGACTCAGCTCCTGGCTATAAGATATAATAGTTTGTTGAACAAAGCGCTATTATAGTTTTATCATCTCAGGAATGCATATGCGCGGGCGACTGAATGATGCGGCAACTTGTTCATTGTTCACATTATAACTATTTATTAATACCATATAGCTGAGAGGAGCTCGATGGCGCAAGTGGTTAGCGCGTTCGGCTGCGATCGTTGAAGTCAAGCAACTTTCGCAGTGGTCGGTCATTGGATGGGTGACCAAAAATCTTCGGAAGGCACGTTAAGCCGTTGGTCTCGGCTGCATCTACAGAAGTTAGCACCCACCCATCCGCACTGGGCCTGCGTGGTGGGTCATTTCTAAATCTCCCTATTCCATCCATAGGGAAGGCCTGTGTCCCAGCAGTGGGGACGTCAATAGACTGAGGATGATGATTGAGTAGTAAGTGATGAGGACATAGCGGGTTTGCGCTCGAATTGTATGGGTTAAATCGAGTTTAATGGCGCAATTACATTTGGTCGTTAGCCCGAATTCGGACACCCGAAGCAATATTTACAATGAAACACGGGCTGGAAGACAAGGGCGGAAGACAAGGAGCCCAGGGGGGGGGGGTCATGGGGGTCATGACCCCCCCCCCCCCCCTGAGCTGGGTACAGATGGACCAAACCCAGGGGATTTTATTTAAGTACTTCCAATATTTAATATACCACGACTATATGACCCCCCACTGGCGCCAAAGCTGGATCCGCCCTTGCTGGAAGACGGTGTCGGGTTAACAAAAGGAAATCTACCCGCTTACGGGCATACTCCGTTCATAAATAAACATAATCATAATCATTTATTCATTATAGCTATGAACGGGATTGTTACCATGTACCTTGTTTTTTACGAGTCTCCGATATTTCGGCACTGTTGCAAGTTGAATAGTGAGAATGTGACCAGTAGTAGGGGTATCGAGCGCAGTAAAAGACGACGTTAGAGGGTAGACCGATATGTCTGCCAATAACATCTACCCGCAATTACTTCAGTTACTCCGTGATCATGACGCTTGCAACAGTGCCGAAATATCGGAGACTCGTAAAAAACAAGGTACATGGTAACAATCCCGTTAATAGCTATAATGTTAGTGACCATGAAAGTTTAAAACAATATATCATTTATTCAGTTTAGGCTGTTACAAGCACATATGAATGTCTAGAAGCTACGCCATCGGTTCGTAAATCTACGGCGGGAGACCTTGTACTGAGAAGAACCGGCAAGAAACTCAGCGAGGGCTGGTGTTTTCTCCCTGTTTTATTATTTACGAAGTCGTCAAGTTGAAAAATTACTTCAGAGATGATCCATGAAGTCACCTTTCATTACATAATGATTAAATAGGGATGATGATTAATTTTTTTTCTTCTTTTTTATCAGGTAGATTATCAAAAAGTATTTGACACGTATTATTTCTTTTTTCACATAATATAAACATTGCAGAGATATATTGATTTGAAAAGTCGCATGACGTCACGTTTTGGTACAATTTTCACTTAAAAGTGACGTCACGAGCCCCTACTCCCAAACTTTAACGCGCTATAACTTTGTAATTTTTTGGTTGATTGCCCAAAGGAAAAATGCGTGTCCATTATTTTTTGATCATCTAACTGACGGACTAAATAGAATTTCGTTTACTGTACCCCGTCATCACCTCTGTGCTGTGTCATAGAGTATAGATACAAATAGTGTTATTTATATTAATTATTAATGGAGTCGTTCATAAATGAACGGACTTGAGTAAACACTTCGTTTACCCGAATTCGAAAGACCAAGTAAATAAATTGAAATTTAGCAAAGTTGCTTTAATTGGACCTTAAATAAACTACAACAACAAATATCCACGGCTCACTCGTAAAGAGGCCGTATGTATAATTGCAAATTTAAGAAAAAGAAACCAACTATTTGTCAAAGTTAGCGTCAATCAAAACTGTCAGCCACAAATTCACACTTCAAGATGTTGTCATCAAAATTCTAGTGTAATTACCAAAAACAAGAATAAAAGTGCTATGAAACCAATAGAAAATATTCCACAAACCACTGACGCAGACGACGGTATATTCAAAAGCGAGAATGAAATGAGAGAATCGCTTTCAAAGCTATGTTACGGCGACTTGTTTCTAATCGGCAGGATTTGGGTAGAAGCTCTACAAGCAGTTCTGGTAGGCACAAAATTCAATTTGATACCAGCAGTCAATGCAATGGGGAAAACTAAAGAAGACGCAGTACCAAAAAGACCTCCGCCGATGAAATTCGAAGAGTTGCCTATTTACGAAAATCCGCATTACGAATACAAAGATCATGTCGCCGACAAGGATAAATGTCCTGAGTATAAGAACAAGCTGGTCCATAACGCATTACTGCCTCACGTGAAGAAATCTAGGAAGAGAGCCAAGGAGATCTATGAGAACTTCTGCGGTACTATGAAATCTCATTGCAAAAATACTTGTGCCTCTGTTAAGGAAAACAAGAAGAGGGTGAAAGAGTATATGAGGCATCCAGACAATCTAGTTTTGAGACAAGGAGTTCTTGCTGCTGGCACTCTGACTGGATTTCTTCTAGGTAATAGTTCTATTTTGGGTGCGGAGACGCGGTGAAGTCACTAAACGGGGATCTCGCGGTTCCGCACTTAACAGCATAGGCAGAGGCGGCGTAAGGCGTGGGCGACGTGGGCCACCACCTACGGCTTCGCGGTACAAGGGGCCTCGCGCCTGAAAAATTTTTATGCATTGCTTAAAAGCGAATTTCTTTTTTTTATTAGTTTATAAAAAACTTCTTCAGGCAGCCACAGCCTGTTCTGTGGCGACCTGAAGACGGATTTTATCTGTCTTAGATTTTAGTGTCTGAAATCTGTCTTGCCCACATCAAATTTAGGGTTTGCCCCGCCACTGAGAGTAGGCAGAGTTTTCTAGCGGATATTATGCCGTAAGCGCTCGTAAGCCGCGCGGACTGCTTAACGGCTTCTCCGTTTCGCACCCGTGAGACTTGTGAGAGGCTAGGTGTGAGAGCCGTTCGTTGGTGTGCCCCTTAAGGGCGCCAATGTCTGTAAATAGAGGTTTTGACTGCGTAAAAAAAGGGAATAGTTCTATTTTAGATCAGAAAGGAAATGTTACTAGAAAAAACAACTTCTCGGCAGCGGCAGATTTTAACCAGATAACACTAGTTTTCTGCAGGGATAGTAGGGGATAGAATCAGGATAGACAGCGAATAATAATACTCCGGTTTCGCCAGCGTCTGTAGGCTATGGCAGCCTTTTTTTAGTGTGTTTTCTGTTGGTCTCAGATAACCTTTACAGCGTCACCGGGTTTGGGGACGGCGAGATCCTAAGGGGACCTCAAGCCGAGAATTGGCGAGTGCCTCTAGAGGTATTCCAGGCGGATGGCATCTCCCCACAGAGGAAGTCTCATCTCCGTCTGGAGCCTCTAGACCACTCGAACCTGAGGGGGTCGGCTCAACTAGAGGGCGTCTCTAAGACTCGGACCTCGACTCTAGTTAGCCGCTGTCGTGGGCGTCGCGGCTATGTCAGCCGCTTACAATGAAGCAAGCCATATGCTTGATTGCTTAAAATTTTGATATAGTACACAATCACTTTTGATTCCTTTTACGCCTTAAGTTTAATTTTCCGAAGAAAAGTAGCCCGTGTTCTGTCTTTAAGTATCTTTTAACTCTACCAAAAACTATCAGTCTACGCAGCTGCTTAGATATAAAAACGTGACAGATAGGACATCCTTATTCATAATATTAATTTATCTTTAAAATTAACCTTACCTTAACTTACTTTATAATCTTCATTTGCTTCATTATCTTACCTTATTTTACCACCTTACCATATAACCTTGCCCTACTAAATTAATGTATTAATTTACCTCACCTTATTACGTTACTTTAGGGTCAAGTGTAGGACAGTGTAGTGAGAACACAGTGTAATAAAACGCATATCTCTGCCCTATTCTTATTTGTCTATGGTCTGTCTTGAAGTGATTTACCAGTTGCGTTTGCCGCCATTAAAGGCAGCTGACATTAGACGTCAAATGGCCAGGTATAACACAGAGATATTTCTTAATATGTTACACTATGCCCTTTGTCACAGTGTACCCCAATTGAATTTCACCATACCTTATTAGATTACTTCACCTTATTATCTGACCATACTCTATACCTTACCCTACTAGATTACCTTATTATTTTACCATACCTTATTGCGTTACTTTACCTTATTATCGTACGATACCCTTTATTATTCAGGCGGAGGAGGCGGTGTACCGAAAAGGTTCTTCTTCACAAGCTTAGGAGCTTTAGCCGCCGGCTCGCTCTGTTTCCCGAAACAAACCGACGAATACTTTCGCACCGCTTGCTACCACACTGCTAAGGTAGCCTTAGCTGTTTACAATACGACGTGCGGGAAGGATATCTCTCTAAGGGAGAGAATTCCTTGCAAAGAGGACTTGCCGCCAGAACCGAAGCCGAGAAAACCATTGTGCTCCAAATAGTTGTGATTGACCTATGAAGTGAAGTAGCAACTTGCAGGTCTGCAAAGATGTGGAATAGTATAGAAGAAGATATGGGAGCCCCAGCCGGGATTTTGAGATTTACTCGACCAGAATAACATAATGGGCGCAACCTTGCACCTTGTTAAATACTTCAACTATTGCTAACCCCTTTACATAGGATTGAACGTTGATGGCAGCAAAAAAATCAACAAGTGACCATGACTTTTGATCGCTTCTAAATCGTCAATCTTTTAAATAAGAGCTACTGGAGGGTTCAAGTAACATCCATTGTCAATGTGAGCGCTCTATAATATATTTTTTTGATTGATCTACCCCTTCGTACCGCCACCCTCGCACCATGCAAACCGCCAGATTAATATTTTTCGTCATCAGCAACGGTATGTGAACCCGCCTCGTAGCTCCTATTCAAAAGACTGACGACTTGAATGCCATCAAAAGTCATGGCCGATTGTTGAGTTATTGTTTTGCTACCCTAGACGTTCGACTCTCTATAAAGGGCTCCGGTATGGTGGTGGTACTTCACAATGTGCAAGATCCCTTCGTTATTCTGACGCGCTCGACTAAATCTTGGGCTCTCAGTGACCTAGATGAAGTGAAGAGGATGAGAGAAGATGCAGGCCGGCAAGGTGAGGATGGCTGATGCGGCAGGTGAACTGCTATACCAGCAATCTATCAGCAGCAGTGATTGGCAATTGACATCAGGTGGAATGGCAAAGTTTAACCGGACCTTTTTGCAAAAACAAACTGAATTATTCAATTATTTATCGATGGTACAGATGGTGCAATCCGCGAAGATGCTCCCTACCAATTTTTGGTTGAAAAATTATCTTAGTATTATCATAGATAATTAGTGTGTACCGATAACACTCAAATATTGGCGGAAGCTGGCACACATTTACTATAAACGGTTGAAGGAATAGAGCATCTTCGTAGATTGCAATATACTGTGCCTATAAGTTTAATAAATCCGGCTGCGGTGAGAAGAATGACTTGTTTGTTTTTGTTTTTACAATTTTTCTAGTTCTAACCGTTCTGTAACGGTGACAGTTCAGCGTTGTTACTGAGCCTTTGCTTTTGAGTGTCCGTCTGTATCTCATGGACCACAGTTTTTAGACAACATAGACACGTCGAATAAAGAACCTCCTCTTTAAATAAAACATATTTCAACGGTATAGATGCAGTCATTTTATTTATTTATTCACGTTTCGCATCCTTATATTGTTTTAAATTTTCATGGTCACTAACATTATAGATATTAACGGGATTGTTACCATGTACCTTGTTTTTTATGAGTCTCCGATATTACCCGCAATTACTTCAGTTACTCCGTGATCATGGCGCTTGCAACAGTGCCGAAATATCGGAGACTCATAAAAAACAAGGTACATGGTAACAATCCCGTTAATATCTATAATGTATCGTATCCTTTTCGGGATGCGTCTCGTCAGAACAATGATTTTATTTACTTTGTCGAGCTACCTTCGAAAGACTTTTATTGAGCGTTCGGATATTTCATTGGAAGACTTTCTAAAACTTTATTGTCTATGTGTGAATTGATTAGCAAATTTAATTATTTAGTGCTTATAATTTTTATTATTTCAAAGCATGTAACTGCTTGATGTTTTAATCTAAAGAAAATATAACTAGAACCAGGCAGCAGACGGGACTCGAAAACGCACCCTTCGCAATCCGGGCGAATGCACTGACCAATTATGCTACCGCGGCCCTCACGGACCGCGTCGAAATTCTTCTAGCCATTCTTAAGCTGCAAGGCAGCGCCATCTCTTCGCATTATAGATAACCCACAATGTCAAATGAATACTTTTACAAGTATTAAACATTTGAAAGAAGAAATAGCAATTATAATTATAATTTTTATAATTTTAAAGCATGTAACTGCTTGATGTTTAAATCTAAAGAAAATCTTTCACAAAAGATTTTTTTCTAGTTATATTTTCTTTAATAATGTTACCTATATTGCGAAGAGATGGCGCTGCCTTGCAGCTTAAGAATGGCTAGAAGAAATTCGACGCGGTCCGTGAGGGCCGCGGTAGCATAATTGGTCAGTGCATTCACCCGGATTGCGAAGGGTGCGGGTTCGAGTCCCGTCTGCTGCCTGGTCCGCGTGGATTTTTTTCTATTTAGTGCTTTATTTAATTCTTTAATTTACTTGCTCGATGCTTTGGATAGGTTACAGCGGCACACAATCCGCATCATAGGCGATGAGGAGATGACTAAACACCTCGAGCCTCTTCAATTACGCCGTGACGTGGCGTCACTGAGCGCTTTCTATCGTTTGTACCACGGCGAGTGTTCTGAGGAGTTATTCTCTCTTATTCCACTTCCCCTTTCCTTCAGAGGACCACGCGCGCTGGCTTACGTTGTCATCGTCTAACTGTGGCTACAATTCCAACGCGTACAAAGAAATTTGGTGACTCATTTCTTTGTCGTACTATCCGTAAATGGAATGCTCTGCCCGCTCACGTGTTCCCTCCCTCTTACAACCTGGGATCCTTTAAAAGAGGCGTGAAGAAGCAACATGCAGGTCGGCAGGGTGAGGATGGCTGGTGTGGCAGGTAGAACTGCTGTATCAGCTATCTTCGCGTCTGGACTTCACCTTCACTTAACATCAGGTGGGGTGGAGTCATTTGTCGGACATATCTATAAAAAAAAGTTTTTAATTTTGTTTTTATTTATTTGACTCTAACTCTGGCGATAAATTAAATAAAATCATTATTCTAACGACGCATCCTGATAAAGATGCAAAAAGTCAATCTATACTTATAATAAATCTGTAGAGAGGTCAATTCTGCACATGAAATATATTTTCAAAATAACTATCAGGGGGTGATTAGTGATCGATACTGATGCCAAAAATGCAATCAGTAAAATTTTTGTCTGTCTGTCTGTCTGTATGTATGTTCCTTATAGAAACAAAAAGTACTGGACGGATTTTAACGAAACTTGGTACAATTATTCTTCATACTCCTGGGCAGGTTATAGTATACTTTTCATCACGCTACAATCAAAAGGAGCAGAGTAGTGAAGGGAAATGTTGGGAAAACGGGAGAAGTTACTCCATTTTTTAAGCTTCCGTCGCGTGTGCAGCCTTAATGGTTAAAGTTACATAGAAATCATGTATGACGGAAATATTCTACATAAAATTCTCTAAAAAATATCCCGCAACAGCATATGTCTATCTTTTATGGTTGACTCACAATAACACGTGTAACTCCTGATAGCTTAGCAGTAAAGCTCTAAACCGAAGCGAAGCGAGAGCGGGCCACTAGTAAATAAATATAATCAGTGCATCTATACCGTTGAAACTAGCTTCTCCTTAAAAGTCTACGTTAGTTGACAATACATGGAAAAGGAAAGATGTTAACTAGGCAAATTGTGGTGAGAATTTAATTATGTTATAGAAGTGCTAAGTAACATAGTGAAACTTTACCTAGAAAACTGACTCAACGGTATTGCGTCATGTTTTTTGCTAGATGTTTAAATCTAAAGAAAAGTTTACTAGCAAAAAATTAATTTTTTGCTAGTTGGTTAACCAACAACCAAAAAAATATAACTATAATTGCTATTTCTTCTTTCAAATGTTTAATACTTGAAAAAGTATTCATTTGACATTGTGGGTTACCTACAATGCGAAGAGATGGCGCTGCCTTGCAGCTTAATGCTAGGAAAATTTCGACGCGGCGAATAGGGCCGTGGTAGCATAATGGTCAGTGCATTCGCCCGGATTGCGAAGGGTGCGGGTTCGAGTCCCGTCCGCTGCCTGGTCCGCGGGGATTTTTTTCTAGTAAACTTTTCTTTAGATATTGCGTCAGCTTCGAGTATGTGAGTCAATTTGCAAATAGGTATTAATTTAAAAACAGTTAACCATCGATGGAACTCGGTGGCACAGGTGGTTAGCGCATTAGACCGCTGATCGTGAAAGTCAAGCAACTTTTGCAATGGTCGGTCATTGGATGGGTGACCAAAAACTTATTATCTCGAGTTCCTGCGTGCTTTCTGTTGGAGCGTTAAGCCGTCGGACTCGGCTGCATCTGCAGTCGTTAGCACCCACCAATCCGCACCCTTTATTCTCATTTGTTCGATTCATTAGTTCGATCGTCGAACTAGTGAGATTTTTTTTTCTCATTAGTTCGATCGTCGAACTACTGAGATTTTATTGTTCTCATTTGTTCGACCGTCGTCGAACTTATTTTCTTTATTTATTCATTTTCATTACCAGAACCTCTTAGTTATGTATGGTTTCCTGGTACTTTTTTCTAAATCATCATCATCATCATCAGCCTATTAATGACCCCACTGCTGGGGCACAGGCCTTCCCTATGGATGGAATAGGGAGATTGGGCCATGACCCACCACGCGGGCCCAGTGCGGATTGGTGGGTGCTAACAACTGCAGATGCAGCCGGGATTTTTTGGTCACCCATCCAATGACCAACCACTGCGAAAGTTGCTTAAATTCAACGATCACAGCCGAACGCGCTAACCACCTGCGCCATCGAGCTCCTCAAATTTTTTCTAAATAGTGATTCTTATAAATGTTTATGGATGCAATATTGACGAAGGTCGAACAAATGAGAACAATAAAATCTCAGTAGTTCGACGATCGAACTAATGAGAAAAAAAAATCTCACTAGTTCGACGATCGAACTAATGAATCGAACAAATGAGAATAAAGGATCCGCACTGGGCCCGCGTGGTGGGTCATGGCTCAAACTCCCTATACCATCCATAGGGAAGGCCTGTGCCCCAGCAGTGGGGACATTAATAGGCTGATGATGATCGTGAAGACCGCTGATCGTGAAAGTCAAGCAACTTTTTCAAAGGTCGGTCATTGGATGGGTGACCAAAAACTTATTGTCACTGCGTGGAATTTTTCTAGTAAACTTTTCTTTGGATTGAAAGTTAGATTTTGCACAGCTTCAAGGGATCTTAAATCCTAGTATTATGGTTTAAATTTCAACTCGACACTTCAACGCGTACCTGAGATAAAGGGTCTTGACAGACAGACAGACCCAACAGTGTGATCCTAAACGCGTTCCCTTTTTGTCTTTTAAGGTACGGAACCCCTAGGGATACCTTAAACGTGCCATATTTGACATTGGACGAGTCCTAACATGTTTTCCGGAAACAATAGTGACAAGTCAGCAGTCCATCAAAAGTTTCCGGATACAACCATTTTACTATCGGCACTAGGGCTTCCAATCTCGCAGCCAATCTTTAATCTCGGTACTTGATCCCGCGGGATCCCGGTATTTGCGGGATCCCGGTATTTGCGGGATCCCGCATAGAAATTAATGATATCTATTATTAAGCTAAATAAAACAACGAAATAATCAACGTATTTAAACTTTTATTATAGTTTACCTTTTAAACATTAAATATTACACATAAAAAAATAACATTACACTTGTATAAGTTCTATTGAGATTAAAATCAACCTATGTTAAACAAACTGTAAGGAACTAACGACCTCAATTATAATTTAAGACAAATTATTAAAATATCAAATTTATTATTTGCTTTGACCACTATTTTGTTGAAAATGTTTGCGAAGAAAACATAATATGTCTAAGGTGTCGTCAGCCAAACTACTAATGCTCGAGCCATCGCGCTCACGGCGAGACGTTTAGCATGTGCCTTTTTGCAGTCCCGCAAATCCCGCGGGATCCCGCGCTCATAATCCCGCTAGGAGCGGGACTTTAAAAAAGGCGCGGGATCTCGGAATACCGAGATCTCGGAATACCGGGATTGGAAGCCCTAATCGGCACTAAAAAGATACCAACTAGCGTATACTTTATTCATCTTCAACTCCCGGTCCATCATGGGCCATCATAATGTACAAGTATTCAATTTTATGAATATTATTTATGTCTTCAAAAGGGGTTAATGGCTTCTAAGGCTCAAATCGTTGGAAAGATATACCAACGCGACGACACCGAGGTGTGAATTGAGATAACTGTGAAAATACCACTTTATTTCTCATTCTTGTATTTATGTGACAAAAATTGTATTTATTTATTTTCATTTGGGTAAAATACAGTTTCACACAAATCAATTAAGTAGGTAACACTTATTTATCATCATCAGCCTATTAATGTCCCCACTGCTAGGGCACAGGCTTTCCCTATGGATGGAATAGGGAGATTGGGCCAT